CCTCAAGGCCCAACTCTAATGTCAGCTCCAAGCTCTCTCCTCCCATCCCCATCCAGGCACATTGGGCAGATGGGGGACAGCTGCTGTCCTGGTGAAACGTGGTCAGTTATGTCTCTGTCCACCAGGTTTCACCACTGGGGTCATGGCCCTTTTTTTCCCATGGTTCTGATGTTTGTCTCTCAGAGAAGGGATGGTCCCCAGTCTCGTCTGTGGACCCTGGAGCAGGTAGAGGAGCCGGTGGTGTTTGGGGCATGGGGACCAAAGATGAACTCCTACTCTGCTGATCTCAGGGCAGGGAGCACCTCACTAATATCCTGGCAGGGAGGGGAGCACAGCCTGTTTCCAGAGGAAGAGACAGCCTCACCCAGACCTCTTGGCCAGTGGGTGGTGAGTGTGAGCCAGGTCTGTCGTGCCCAGCACTGAGACTGACCCCTGGCCCTGCTTTGTCTTCTAGTGGAGCATGACCACACCCTGGCCCATCAGGAGCCCCACTGGAAGGAGTTCTGCTTTGATCTGACCCAGATCCCAGCAGGGGAGGCAGTCACAGCTGCTGAATTCCGGATTTATAAGGTGCCAAGCGCCCACCAGCTCAACAGGACCCTCCACATCAGCATGTTTGAGGTGGTCAAGCAGCAGGCCAACAGGTACCTTCTTCTGGCCCCTGCAGCTGCCCCTCCCTTGTGGTCAAGACCCAGCCCTGGGGAGGGGGTGGGGCATTTCTCAGAGAACAGAAAGGGAAGCTCTGTGGGGAGACCAGTCTGAGAGACATGAAACAGGATTGACCCCGGAGCCTCTTGGCTCTGTGGGAAGAGCCCCAGCAACATCCAGGCTGTGGGGGCTTAGACAGGTGCCTATGCCTCAGTTTCCCCGTGTGTATGTGGATGCAGTAACACGTTTGCTAGTGAGAAAGTGTAGAGGCCCCTAGCCCCTAGCCCAGACCCAGTCACAGGGTAGATGCTCCACCCGTGTCTCCCCACCCCCCAACACGCAGGCACTGGAAACATAAGGCACCTGTGCCGGCCTCGGTTAATTGTTCTTTCGTGTCCACAGGGAGTCTGACTTGTTCTTTTTGGATCTTCAGACGCTCCAAGCTGGGGACGAGGGCTGGCTGGTGTTGGACATCACAGCAGCCAGTGACCGCTGGTTGTTGACCCGTAACAAGGACCTGGGACTCCGCCTCTATGTGGAAACGGAGGATGGTAAGGCTTGGGCTCGGGCCCCTTTGTGGCAGTGGTGGTCTGTCTAGCTTGATGCTGGATGCTCAGCCCTTCTCAGACATGATGCTGGGTGATACTCCCTCCCCACTGTGAGGACTCAGTGAGGTAAAGTGAGTCAGG